TTGAAAGAAATAAAAAATAAAAGACGTAAACTTCCAGGATTTTGCCTCTCCTGTCTCTGTGATTAAAGGAGAACTCCCCGGTTCTTAAAACAACAAAATCTGCACGATGCGTGCAACCAAGGAATTTACTACAACAATGAATAAACAGAAATTCATGCGGGTCCCTTTGCCCACTAAACTGAGTCAAAAACAATCTCTTACATCATTTCCCTCCCTATAAAAACCAGGCCAAGTTCATCATTCTTCTTCATCACTGGCAGAAAACACACACACGATTGCATAATGGGAAACGCTGATTTTCTGTGCCCTCCGACGAGCGACCATCAGCAACAATGCGCTCATCGAGTGGCGATTCCTCCGGCACAGCCATTTTTCATGTCTTTCAAGAACTCTCTGAAGGAGACGTTTTTCCCGGAAGACCCTCTTAGACAATTCAAGAACAAAACGCCCTCGAAGAAACTTATACTCGGCCTGCAATATTTGTTCCCCATTCTCGAATGGGCTCCTCGTTACAGCTTAAAGTTCTTGAAATCTGATCTCATTTCTGGGATAACCATCGCCAGCCTTGCTATCCCTCAGGGTATAAGCTATGCTAAGCTTGCTAATTTGCCACCGTTCTCGGCCTCTGTAAGTAATACTAACAGTAACTTGATTAGATCAACTCTTTTGTTGTTGTTGTTGAAGGGTACTGATTAAGTTCTCTCTTTTGGGTTGAAATGAAGATTCAAGTTTTATTCCACCGCTGGTTTATGCTATGATGGGGAGCTCTAGAGATTTAGCAGTAGGGACTGTTGCTGTCGCATCGCTCCTCACTGCTTCTATGTTGGGAAACGAAGTGAATGCTGCTGAGCATCCCACGCTTTATCTTCAACTTGCTTTCACTGCAACTTTTTTTGCTGGACTTCTGCAAGCTTCATTAGGCCTTTTACGGTAAATTAGTTCTTTACAAACAAGAAATAGACGTAAAACTTTTGGTTAATACGGAGTTAAATTGAGGCTAAAAAGAAGACAGAATAAGTTGTACTTTGTCTTCTAGTTGCTGGAATTCTTGTCCTTTGTTGCTGTCTGACAGGAAATGTGTTTGCACTTTATAGCAATCGAAAATTCTTCATCACCCTAACATTAATATACCATTTATACGGGTAAATTAGTTTACTTTGTTGTTATTGTTTATGCAGGCTAGGGTTTATTGTGGATTTCTTTCACACGCGACGATAGTAGGGTTCTTGTCAGGGGCAGCCACTGTTGTTATACTGCAACAGCTGAAGGGAATTCTGGGACTCGAACACTTCACTAAATCTACCGACATTTTCTCGGTTTGCACTCTGTCTTCTCCCAAACTCACGAGGTTATCTTCTTCATTTCATCTCACTTTCCTTTTATAGATTATCAAACGTTAAAACTTGATCATTAATGAAATTAAAAGCTACATCAAATATTTTTACCATGGGCGCTGAGCAGTAGTTTTCCATTACTTGAAATATGTACTACGTTACATGTGATGTACTTGTATTCTTGCTGTTATTCACGGGCCACTTACATTGTCTGACAGTGGAGATGGGAGAGTGGTGTTTTGGGCGTTGGTTTCCTTTTCTTCCTCCTCGTCACCAAACATTTCGTACGTTGATCTAACCATTAATTTAATCTAATCTTCATTAAAAAAAAACCCTTTTTATGTAAACATGTGCTTCACAAATACTGAATTAACCTCAGAACATGCTCCCCACTGCATATAATATATTTGGCAAAAGAGGTTGATTGGCGTCAGTTTTACAAATCGGGAAGGACTTAAATTGGAAATTTGAGTTAAAAAAGGGATTGCTTTTTTAAGTATATTATTTGCATAATTGATTTATTGGATATGAACAGAGCAAGAGACGACCCAAGTTCTTTTGGATATCAGCAATGACGCCTTGACATCAGTCATCCTTGGAAGTCTCCTCGTTTATCTTACACATGCAGAGAAACACGGCGTTCAAATTGTGAGCATGAATAAAAAACCAAGTTCAAATTTTGGTTTGGTCCCTTCATAATGCTTCAATTTAGAATTTAGTCTATCCAAGTTCAAATTTGTTTTGGTCCCTTCATAATGCTTCAATTTAGAATTTAGTCTATATAGTTTAATTTAACATAATTTAGTTATCTATCTTTATTGTGTCATTAGTTAGTTTGAATACATAATATTCTGATAAAATATCGACGTGAATTTCTTATAATAAGACAATTTTAACATAACAAAAAATCAGGTTAGTGTGATAGTTAAATATATTTTTAAGAAAAAACAGTGTCACTATTTCAACTTAAATGATTAACGGTATTAAATATTTGACTTAATTAATACCATTATAAAAGAAACTAGGTCAAATCATGTAAAATTAATATATAATACCAAAATCTCAAACTTGAGCGTAATAAAAGGACTGAGATCATAATTTAACCAGGAGTTTAGACCTATAAGTCAAATGATGTTTGGTTAAAACAAAATATATAATATATAAAAACAAAATATATATATATCTATATATATCTATATATATATTTCGAAAAATAACAGTCATATAGAGTTAGACTAAGATCCTAAAATGTTAAAAAAGTGACATATTCTACATTTTTATGTAACTTGTCAAAGCTTTGTCCAAAGCTAATAATTGTTCGGTGTGTCCCCCCACCAATAATATTCCACTGCACCCCGTTGGCCTATTAGATAAGTCTTGATGTGTGTAATGATATTTTTAGCCTTCAAAATAAAAAAATATATTTTTATTTTTAGATTTTTATATTGAATTAAATTAGTTTATTTTATTTTAACTTTTAATATTTTTTTATTTTCTTAATTTTTAGCATTATTTATGTCATATCTGATGAAACAAGAAGAAAGAGTTTGTGACCTATGGAAATTTTGTTGGTGTGACAACGGCAGATAGGAAACCTGAAGAAAGGGTTGAATCCACTATCTTTTGGGGATTTGGTCTTTACGACGCCGTATATGGCCACGGCTCTCAAAACTGGCATTGTCACTGGGATTATTGCTCTTGCCGTAAGCTGCCTTCAAATTTTCTCTCTTTAAATTAGTCACTGTACTTTGACAGAGTTTCAAATTTAGTCCCTATCATTTGACCAAAAGAAAATGACAGCAATAACCAAGGACAAAGAAATAATAGCATGGGGCCATTTATGTTCCTTTTGATTTATTTCACTTCAAGGGAAAATGACAAAATATAGAATGATTCAAATTGTTGGTCGTTGTGAATACACACAGGAAGGAATAGCAGTGGGGAGAAGCTTCGCGATGTTCAAGCACTACAATATCGATGGAAACAAAGAAATGATAGCCATTGGTTCCATGAATCTTGTTGGTTCTTGCTTTTCTTGCTATCTCACAACTGGTAAGTTGTCAAGTCTTTTTTTCTTTTATCCAGGTGATGACAGTTAATCGATTCGATTTGTTAATCGCAGCGTCACCGTTGTTGTTGATATGTATATTTCAGGGCCATTTTCACGATCAGCTGTTAACTTCAATGCCGGATGCAAAACGGCAATGTCCAACGTTATCATGGCCACTGCGGTTATGTTCACGTTGCTGTTCCTAACACCGTTGTTCCACTACACTCCCCTCGTAGTGTTGTCCGCCATCATAGTTTCCGCAATGCTTGGCCTCATCAATTACGATGCCGCCATTCATCTTTGGAACGTCGATAAATTCGATTTCGTCGTGTGTATGGCTGCGTATATCGGCGTCGTTTTTGCGAGCGTCGAGGTCGGCTTAGTTGTAGCGGTACGATCACAAAAATATCAACCAAGTACGGCTTAAATAACATTGTTCATTTCACCCTCTGCCCAATGAATGCTTTTTGTATGAAATGCAGGTTGCGGTTTCTGTGCTGAGATTGCTGCTGTTTGTTGCAAGGCCGAGGACTTTTATTCTGGGAAACCTTCCGAATTCAACCATCTATAGAAACGTTGAGCAATATCCGAATGCAAACAATGTTCATGGTGTTCTCATACTCAAGATAGATGCTCCAATTTACTTCGCCAACTCAAGTTACTTAAGAGAAAGGTACTAGAATTGCATTGCTTAATTATCAGACAACTAGATAGGATCGGATCGGATCGGATCGAACTCATGTATGATCTTATCAGGATAATACGATGGATCGATGACAAGGAAGACAAGCTGAAATCAACAGGAAATACCAGCTTACAGTATGTCATACTCGATATGACCGGTGAGTGATCACTACAACAAAATGACCTTGAGCAACAGTCAATTTAATGACAAGAATTACATCTATTTTGTTTCACAGCTGTTGGTAGCATTGACACCAGTGGAATAACCATGCTTGAAGAGATCAAGCAAACTACTGACAGAAGGGAGATTAAGGTGTTTTTTTTTGGTACAATACTACGTTGAATGTATTGTCACTGGAAAACATATTCTGATTTTTGTGTGCGTATATATAATATTGTTATTTTAGCTTGTATTGGCCAACCCTGGAGCCGAAGTGATGAAGAAACTCAACAAGTCCAAGTTCCTGGAAAAAATAGGTCAAGAATGGGTATATTTGACAGTAGGAGAAGCTGTTGAAGCCTGCAATTACAAGCTTCATACGTGCAAACCAGCGGAATCGCTGCCATGGAACATTGTCTAAGTTAACTAGTAATCTTTATGCAACTGAGAATCAGGGTGCATAGCGTGTTTAGGCATTGCTGAATCAACAGGACATTTACCAAATTAAAAAGCTTAGATGCATGAGGTTATTTTTTCTCTTTTTAACAATTTGCAAATTGTACGATGAAATCCGTGGTAGCAATTTAACAAGGAAAAAAGAAATGAGTATTTCAACTTAGTCAAAGAAAAATCTTTACAGCATTACAAGGATAAATGCTAAGGGTAGTCCCTGTACCTATCTGTTTATGCTGATAAATACTTAAACCAGCTGTAGACAGAATGCAGAAAAATGTGAATATGAAAGATTAAGCAATGCGAAACAACAATTATGTGAGCTAGAACAAAATAATTTCCATTTAAATCCATATTTAGGCCAAGTTAAACCTATAGAGAAGGGAAGTTTTAGGCTACAAAAGTACACTTTGTTATGATTCGATGGTGCCTGAAATATACGGCTGGATCTCTAAACTACGGAAGAAGATAACCTCTAAGAGGATATAAATATGTGAAGCACAAAACTTAGGAGGGCAGATCTATAGCCAGTACAACTAAAGTCTCAGTACTGAAAACTACACTGATCGATCACTGCCTCAATCTCCTTTCGTTGGGGGTTCCGCGCATGCACAAAAGGGTTTCTTCTTCTTCTTCTTCTGGTTCTGGCTCTTTCTTACACCACCATAAAGATAGTCCCGTAATAAAACTCTTGTTTTACGCTCCATGATTCTGGTTGGTCCTTTGCTTTCTTTTGCATCAAGTTTCAGTAAGAGAAACTGGATTTTCTGCACCTCCAATTGCAACCGCGCTATCTTCTCGGACCCTCTTCGAGCTTGTTCTGCTACTCTTCGTCTCCTAAAAGAACTACTCTCATCTGATTCTAACGCAGGCTTCCTATCAAGTGACCAAGAGCGGTCTTCAACATGTGTCACCAGTTTGCGATTGACATCGAATAGTTGAATGATGGTTTCCTCAGATTCTTCTAGCTGCTGTTTAACTGTACCATATTCAATTCCTTTCCCCGTTTTTCCCGTTTCAGTTATCTCCACCTTCCTCTTAAGATCCTGCACAGTTATTTGAAGGTTACCCAACTTTTGAGCGTCCGATTCGAGTCTTTCTAAAATCTTCCTCTTGCTTCCTTCTTGATAAGGCTCTGTAAATCTCTTAGAGCTCTCTTTATCAACACCCAACTCCTTCACAATTGATTCTGTAGAGAGATTTTTGCCCCTGCGCGCCTTTGCTGTACCAATCCGTTGATTGCCAGTTGAAGCGGCGACCATCTTCTGGGACTTGCCGACTTTCAAGGCAATGTTACCATCACGGTCAGTGGTTTCCCACAACTCAAGCATCTGATTATCAAGCTCTGCAGTTTCTCTCCTGCTTAACCCATCGGATGAGCACTCGGATGTTTGATCAAGCAGAATATCTTTCATCATCATTTCACTGCCCTCAGAAATTTCAGATGCTGGTCTCTGAGCTTTGACATTGTTACCAAGTCCATGGCCAAGTTTCCCCCCATCTTGTCTAGCATTCACGTGCCTCTTCGCTCTAACTTGTTCACGACGTGAGCTGCTTCCAAATCTTAACTCTTCAATCTGTCTCATGGCAGTCTCTAGTTTGGAATTGAGAGTTAAGTTTTCGATTGATGCTTGCTTTTGCATTTCCACCACTGCACTTTCAATAGATTTAACTCTCTTATGGATACCCTGCAAGTCGGGAAAACCATCTTCAACTGATGCAATTTGGCCTTCACCTGTTCGTTGATAATTTTCAGCATGCGATTCAGTAGCCAAATCAGCATCCTTCAAAACAAGAGAACTGTCAGTCAAAGAATCACACGTGATAACCATCTAATATCCATTGCATTGTCAAAATAAATGATAATTAGCTGAAAAGGCCCCATTTATACCCGGCCTATTAAGAACTAAACAGAACTACCTCATACTTTGACAAATGTCTAATGCGCTTTTAGTATTGTAAAACATCTTGGTAATACTATATGCAATATCTAGGCCTTGCAGAAATTAAACAAAACCAGAAACTACATTGTCCATTAACAAAGATATGAAGAAAACAAGTAGCAAAAGCGCATAAAATTTACCATACAGTAATGGCAAACATGGCTCTTAAGGACATAGAAACGATTGAGCTGGTATTAATTCAACAAAATTAATAAAATATATTTCTCATTGAAACAAAATTTGTGCAGAAGATCAGGCTAGTAAATGTATATGGGTGCAAACTCGGGAACTGGATGCAGCAAAATATCAATTGCTTGTGCAAATAAACCAGTAGATGCTCATTCAGGTAAAAGATATATGTGGTTGGGTTAGAACAGAAGTTTTATATTCAACCAAATAGTATGAAGGCCGCATTGATTTGGTTTATTAAAATTTAAAATGCAGACATTAAGTCACTTGTAAGCAAACGAATAGACATTACCATTACTCCATCATTATGATCTGCGGGAAATTTAGGAGACAAGCGAGTTCGACTCCCCAATGATGTGACACTGTCCATGAGAGAAACAACAGCTGGAACATATGCTGCCAACTGAACTTTAAATTCTTCATTCTCACGTTTCAAGATTCTAGCACTTCTTTCCAGCTCTTCTAACTCCATAGCTTTGGAGCGACTTTTACTTCCAAGGACTTCACACTCCTTGATAAGCTCATTAGCCGTCTCTTCAAGCAATGCTGCATGGACAGTAGAAATCTGTAGCTCACCAGACAATGCGGCAGCTTTACTTTCCCAAAGTTCAACCTCATTTCTTCTCTTTTGTAGTTCAACACTAAAACTGTCCTCCCTATGTTTCCTTTCTTCAAGTTCCTCATTCAATTTGGCAAATTCAACCTCAAGTTTCTGATTAGCCCGACGAATGCTTTCAGTTTCCTTACTTTGATGGTCATAATCTCTGGATAGTTTGCGAATTTGCTTCTTTTGATCTTCACCTATCAGTATGGCCTCCTCATATTTAGTCGTAAGATCCTCTAAAAATTCATGCAATTGGGCTCTCTCCTCTTGACTTTCACCGAGCATTTGTTCTGCTTCCAAAAGCACAATCGCCTTCTGGCCCAACAGATCCTTTCCCTTTGAAACTTCATCATTTAACTGATCACCAACAGATCTAACTGACACCAGTTCATTCTCCAAGTTTCTCATTGAATCCTTGAGATGTGAGTTTTCCATTTGCATATCATCAAACTTTCTCTCCATTATTCTCAGTTTTCCCTCAAGATCATTATTGAGACATTTGAGTTTATCCAAATTGTCAGTGAGATGCTTTATTTCCTCGAAATTATCAGCAATAATATCCTTGAGAATAAGAGAAGTGTTACTTTCAGATATTGCTTCAGCAAAGACAGCAGAGTTTCCCTCCTCTAGATTATGTTTCTCCTTGCCCAAGTCTAAAACTTCCTTCATCAAAGACTTTTTCTCATCTACCACCCTGTGGCTATCCTCCAATGAACTCTGGTATTCCCTTTGCAAGACTAACAGTTTTTCACGAACACTTTGTATTTCAGTCTGTAAAACTTCTTCTCTTTGTCCTCCCTCCATCACTTTCAATTTCAGTTCTTCATTCATGTCCACAAGTTTTTCAGCTCTTTTCTGCAGCTCCAGAAATGCCTCAGACCGAATGTTCAACTCTTGGTGCGGTGAATTTTTCTCTTTAGCAAGATTTTCTACCTCTAATTTCAGTTGCCCGAGTAAAGCAATAAGAACCGAATTCTCAATTAACAATTGTTGATTTTCATCCAGAGAGTTTAGAAGTGAATTTTGCATCTCCCGTAATCTTCCATACACACGGTCAAGAACTGATTGGTCTTGTTTACTCGTATCATAATAACCATGGGTAGCATCAATCTCAAGAGTCATTGACATCTGATAAAGCCCTGTCCTTTGTATGGTAATTTGATCGAATAAGGATTTTATCTCCATCTGTTTTTTGGAATTTGCGAGCTCCAGTTCAGAGATAAGTTTGTCTGATAATATGATGGCTCTTAAGAGTTTCCTACACTCAAGCGATAGGGATAAATTCTTTTCTTCAAGATCTTGTGCACATTTCTTCAAGATAAAATTTTCTACCTGAGCACTCATGGCCTTGTCCAGTTCCTGTTCATATTCTTTCTTCCTGCAAATGTTTTCCACTTGTAGAAAATGAATTTGAGATTCCATAGCAGTTACGTGGGTTTCATTCAACTGCACAAAGCTAGTATGCTCCGTCTTTTCAGCCTCTAGCAACTTTTGTAACTCTTCCACTTCAGAAAATGTTGATTCTCTCTCTTTCTCCAGACTCAAATATTTTTCTTCTAAGCCCTGATATATTTTTTCTAAATCTTCAAACTTTTTTTGACTGACAATCAACTGAGAAATCAAACCTTCTGTCTGTGTTATGAGGCCAGACTTCTCATCACCAAACAAAAGGCATGAATTTTCTAAGTTAGTTAATTTAACTCTGAATCCTTCGAGCTTTGCATTTGCATCAAAAAGGGAATTCTCCAGAAAGTTATTCTTCTTCGAAAGCTTTTCCAGATTCTCAGTTGCAATCTTTAACTGAGAAATAACTGCATCCTTCTCTGCGGCGAGGGTGGAGTTCTCTCCCAAAAGAGAGTGACAATATTCTTCCAAAATCTTTACTCTCCCCCGAACACTTTCTAGCTCAGCATTCATATCTGAGAGTGAATTCTCTAAAAGGGTATTTTCCCCGATAAATTTCTCCATGATTTCCAACTTCTCTAGTAGGGCCAGCTTTTCATCTCTCTCTCTTTTGCAGTCATCGTTTAGCTTTCTGTTCTCGTCCTGCAATTCCATCACAGATGATGCAAAGTTTTCTAGATTTAAGCCAACAGATTCCAGCTGCCCTGTCATTTCCCGGTGTCTCTTGTTGAAGTCATTGAGTTCCTGTTTCAAACAGTAAATTTCTTGCTGAAGAGCATTTCTTTGGTCCACTCTAAGTTCAACTTCTGCTTCAAGTTTGGCTATAATCACCTTTAAGCTTAAGATCTCTTCTTGCATATTCTCGATGGACATTGCAGAACTTATATTGAGTTCGTTCAGGCTTTTGTTCTCATCCTTGACCCTCTGCAGTTCAGCCTCTAAACCATGATTACGTGTTTCAATGTCCTGTAAATTTTGAGCCCTATTCTGAAGCTCGGTGGCCAAAGATCTGAGTTCTTCCTGAGATTGAGAATGCAAATGCTGCAAAGTGTGAAATGTCGTTTCGGCCTCCATAAATCTCAAGCGTTCTTCTTGTATGGATGTCCAAAGTCTCCCCAATTCCTTCTGCTTCTCTGTTAGCTCTTGACTTTGATCCCTCATCTTTTGCACCAAAGACTCGAATTCAGTATGCAGACTTTGGTTGGTTCTCTCCAATAGACTACATCTCTCTTCAGCACCTTTTAACTTTGCAGCCTCGTCGTCTATCTCACAGTGGAGCTTTTGTGCCTCTTCCTGGGCACAAGCAAGTTTGTTTTCCAGGCTAGAAATCGTCCCTAAGCACTGCTGGTACTGAAGAGCAGCAGCTTCCTTATCTTTGGTCAGCTCGAGAACCACTAATTTTAGAGTTTCAAGTTCAGTTTCAGCTTTCTCTGCTCTTTCAGTCATCTTCCTGGCTCTTTCTTCAGCATTTGATAATGTTTGTTCCAGATTGCTAATAGTCTCTGTGCACTGCTTGTATTGAGTAACAGCGTCCTTCTTTTCAGCTTCTACTTTGGTGAGGTCCTGCTTTAAGGTTTGGACTTCAATTTCAGCTTTAGCAGCTCGCTCATTCAGTTCTCCAGCATCCTTTAGCGTATGAGTTATACTGTTCTCAAGATTATTTATCTTCTCCAAGCACTGCCGGTATCGATCAAGATTAGCCTCCCTTTCAGCCTCTAATTTAGCGAGGGCATCCTTTAAAGTCAGCACTTCGGCTTCAGCTTGACTTGCTCGTTCATTAAGCCCCTGGGAATCTTCTTGTGCACGAGAGACTTCTAGCTCTAGATTAGACAATCTCTCTAAACTCTGCCGGTACTCAAGTAAGCCGGCTTCTTTTTCAACTTCTAATCTAGCAAGAGCATTCTTCAAGTTTGAAATTTCCACCTCAGCCTTACTCACTCGTTCGGACTCAGAAGGGACTTCAACACTTAGATCAGGGCCCCCATTATTTTGCAGACTTTGGTCTTTCTCCTCTGTATCATCAAACTTGAGGCTTTTTCTTGCCCTTCTTTCTGTGAACTTTACATGGTTTGTAGCTCCATCAGAACCAAACATAACAGCATCCTTTTGCAACTCATCAGGCTCCGATAATCCACATAATGGTGGTGGAGTCAGAGGTGAACGGGGATCAACCTCTGTTGCCGAACCTCCTGGTGATTCGTCTGCAAAAACCAGTGGAACTTGGTTTGGAAATGCTTCTGCCATTGTCCGATGAGCCTGACGAAGCACCCCGGTTGCATGATCATATCTTTCAGCCATTGCTCGGTATGCTCGATAAAACTCTTCTACCAATTTCATTAACTCTGGACGTTTCTTGTAATACATCTCTGCTCGCCTAGCAAACGAATCAGCATCCTCTTCAATGAGCTTGATCATTTGCTTGACTTTAGTATCCATATCTGTTAAGCAGAAGATATTTTCACGAATCAAAATTTTTTAAATACTGTCATTACACAATCACATACCATCACTAGAAATCTCATAGGGTTTCATCAATCAATGCACTCCTGGTCTGATTAACCAAAGTAAATATGCATCAGTATAAACTTCCCCGTGGCTTAAATGCAGAAACTTGCAACTTAGCAAGCTTCGGAAGGAAAGTTCGGTACGCATTTCAACTTAATATTAACTATTAACGCAAACTGTTTACAGTTCATAATATCATTTCTTCCTGTAACAAATGCATAGTTGCAAAAAAGGGATGAAATTTCCAATTTTCGTAGCAATGAAGAGGTACCTGTGAGATTCTCTTGAAGCCATTTTGAATTTTTGGGGCTTATATGACTGTTCCACCACCATGAGTACATGCCAACAGAATCTGAATGCTTCACAGTTTCCATGACTTTCGGTACTCAATACCACCAACAACACCAGTTCCTGACGACCTCCGACCACGGATGACGGTCCTGAGGGGATGGATCAGCTAAGAAGATTAAAATCCAGCCACTTTTAATTTTGAGAAAAAATGTTAAAGTACTGAAACTTCTCAGTCCTTGTGCTTAAATCCTGGTGCACCAACAAACAGAAAAATAAATAATTCAGCTTTGACGTGAAGGAAACGCACACGACCTAATAACATGAATAGTAACATGAAGATATCAAAGCAGGAACGGCATAAAAATAACCTTATCGAGATAATCTAACGGTCTAAAACTTTATGTTACGAAACAACTGGTACTGGTAACTGTCGTCTCCGAACCTGCCTTAAGTTACCTGATGAAGACAACACATACTTTAAAACACGTGTTGGAAGATAGAATCTATTCAATCAAACAAAAAAAATGCTTTTAAGAAAATTGCAGATTCACTGTCAAGTGTCAACAACATTCCATAAAAACCGTAAACTGACTAAACTTTTATGAACTCAAAGCATGATTCAGTAACTAAATTACCTCTCAAGAAATGGGATTTTTGTTCATAAAAATGCGAAGAGCCGTTAAATTCAGCAAAAAGGAAGTGTAGAATAGAATAAAAAACTTACTACAAACTGAGAAAAATAAAGTATGGTTTCTGGGTTTTCATTATGTAGGCTTGGGTTGTTTCTTTTGCCTGTCTCAACCCATTTCTGAACAATCGTTCTCAGGCGCAAGTCTCATCCTTTACTTTTCTTTCTTTGCTCCTCTGTTTCCGCCGGTTATGGGTGCTTTTGAGAAGGCTGTTAAAAGAGGAAAAGAGAACTAAAAAGGGAAGAGCATATGGAAATGAGAAAAATCATTAAATACATAAATGTAGCTTAAAATCTTTTTAGGTATTTATTTAAGAGGAAAACTAACAAACAAGCAAAGCTAAAAAGAAAAAGGGTTTGGTGAATGTTAAATGACAAAGCTGTCCCTTTAGGTGTTAAGTAAGGTTCAAGACAACGTTGCTCCTTGTTCAAATGAACGAAACTCGAATTGATTCGAAAGATCAATATTTTTACTCAATTTGATTTAAACAATTTTAAATTTGAGTTAAATTGTAAAATAAAACTTGAATAATTCAAAAAATTTAACAATTAGTATATTAGTTTTTAAATTTGAGTATAATTTCTCTCTTTTATATAATATATGTCTACTACATATGAAGAAATATATATGTATTGTACATAGTCAATGGCGAATCCAAAAATATTTTTTAGAATAGGAACACATATATGAACAATGCAAAATTTTCGAATGGGACGGATACAAATAAAATTTTTGGGCAAACACTATCAATAAAGTAAGTAACTAGCCAAAGAAAATTCAGACTTAACATGCGGCTCTACCAATGTATATGATTATAGGAAATCAAAAATATTTTAAATTAAATAATACTATAATATTATAAATATTTAAAACTAAATTTAAACAATTCGACTAGATGTAATTCAACTCAAATTTTATAAATTCGACTCAAAAATATTTTAAATGAAATTTAAATTATAAAATATAAATTATGAACTCCAATAACTAAAAAAAATATTTCTACTCGTACTCGTGCTTCTCCACGTATGACTTGGATGGTAAATATGGAAAAGGAGAATCTGGAATTGTAGGCCGTCGGCGGATATGACAGGGTGTCATTCTTTTTGGAAAGGTGGTTCCGAGTAGTGTTGGGTCGGGTCATCCTTTTGGACAACACCGACTACTTGGTTTCAAGTCGTAGTGTAAGTTTTTCCTCTGCACAGCTCCGTTATAACAACAGGTTGGAAGTCAGAAAAAAAAGGTCTACCATTGCTAAATTATTACTTATGGTGAGAAAAAAAAAATTAGCAGTTTCGTGCTTTGCGTTTGGAACTCCCATTAATGGCGAGACTATCGTTCAATGAACTCTTCGTTAAACTCAAAACAACAACGCTTTGAACCTGTAATTACTAATGTGAAGAGTGATCCGACAGAGTAAGATTTGTTTAAAAACATGTTTAATCCACATATAATGTGAAGATGAAAATCAAACACGTAGACATAGTACAAGCCTTGTAGAAACTGTACGGCAGTAGGAAGCTTCTTCCACATGACCCGAATTTCCCCCGTGGGCAACACCACCATCCGTCGCTTTTATATATACATATTGGTCGGTAAAACATCTGTCGCTTATACATACACGTAACACACACATGACTGTACACGTATACGTATTTCAGTATGTATGTCTAAGAGATTCAACGAAGCAAAGGGGAGTGACAGAGCCATGGATTCAATCAACACTAATCTCACATGTTTCATCGTGCTTTTAGCTTTGATTATTAACTCACATAAGCTCTCTTGGTGTCATATGGATAACACCATGGCAAATGATCAATCTTTTTATGTTCTTTTTCTTAATTTTGTTTCCTCTGATTTTACATAAAGTAATCATTCCTTTGTGGAGAGATCTACAATCAAAGCTCTATTAATTACAAACTATAATTCCTTAACTTCATTAAATTTGAGAGGTGGCCAACTTCCCCATTCCCATTACCTCCATCACCAAAGAGGGAGAACTGACCCATAACTTTTTTCATTAATTTTCTAAGCCCTAAAATAAAAGGGTTCGGTAGGTAATTAACGGCAGTGTTCAATGTATGGTTGACAATTTATGAGCTAAGATCAATACAGTATTAATTATACTAGTAAGAAATAGGTTTCATATAAACTTTGATTAAATGTGATATATTAGAGTATATGAATCTTGATAAAATAATATGAAAATTTTATTAAAATTTTAACATAAAGTAATATCATGATGACTAAGAAATGATATCATTTAAATTTGATAAAATAATTCAATTAATAAAATTATAATGCAAAATTTTAAATTTTACAATAATTCAAAAATAATTTTTTTAACTTAAACTCTACAAACCATTCGCACTTGATGTCCAACCGTAGGAATGGCAGAACGATCCGAACTCGACAGGGAAACCTGAAACCCAGCTAAATTCGGGTCGGGTTTTAATAATATCGGGTCAGGTCAAGTATCTTGGTAAAATTTGAAGATTTTTTTCGGGTTCAGGTTAAGATATTCCCGCTCCGATTATATATATAATATTTTATATTAATTATATATAATACAAACAAAATATTTTGGGTTTGGGTTTAGATTTGAATGTAATATTTTGAGTCGAGTTTGAGGACAGGACAAAAAATATATCCGACGGAAACAAATGAGCAAAACCCACCCGAACCCGTCCGTTGTCATTCCTATCCAACCGATAGAACAAAATCCAAACATCATCCGGTTTGGACAAAAGAGAAAAAATCAATAAAACCAAAACCAAAAGTGAGGCAGGAACTTCCGTATTCCTTGTGCATGATGTTGCACCCAGCAATGGAGTCAATGACCAATCCACCACCAGCACGAGCTGGGGCCACCACCATCCCCCTCTTTTACACAAGATCTCATCAAAGCTGCCAGCAGATTGCATATGTAGGGCAGCAGCAAGCAAACAAGCGCACATGACAGACCCCACCACCGTCGCCATCAAAGATTCTAAAAGCTTGCCATTCTAAATGATTGCTACTGCCTGTATTAAATTTTAAGCTAAGAGAGAGGACGATGGCCCACTTTCTCTTTCAACTGCCATTAAGCGTTTCCCGATGGGCATGCGAATGGCTATTAAACACTTGTTTTGCAAACGACTACTTCTAGGCCACCTTTTTTTTATTATTAAACACTTGTTTTTGCCTTTTTGATGAAAATGATCATTCAACTTAGTTAGTAAAATATAAGGTTTTTAATCTTAAGGTCGTGGGATCGAGTTTTATTAAGGGTATTTTATAATTTGGAGGTCTCATACGGAAGCTGTTATCAATCTAGTGTTGGGGACAACCTACTATCTGAACTCCCCCTTATCCCATTACATATGAGAACAAGGGACATCCATTTTTTGCCTGTTGATGGCTTGGTGAATTAAATCGGCTCCGTTGCATTTCTCTGCAATATATATATATATATACTTCTTCAACGTTTAAAGTAGGTTTGTAAACGAATAGAACGAACACGAATATAAATGAACAATTTTTTTTCATGTTCGTTTATTAAGGAATATAACTTGTTCATGTTCGTTCATTTAATAAATAAACGAACATGAACATAAACGAACACGAGCATAAATAAACACGAACACAAACGTTGGAGACCCTACCTTCCATTGTTTTTTCATGAAAAATAGTCGACAATGCAAATTAACCAAATCTACAGTGATAAATAGCGTAAGAGCTTATTAGCAGTGATGAAATGTTTGAAGATATCAAATATTTTGATCGATTTTTTAAAGATATTAAATAATTCACACGACTTTCATTTAACGATATAACATTTATCTTAGTGGTCCATGATTACATATGAACAATCATTTTCCACTACGTTATTCTAATAAATTTGTCGGTTAAAAGTTTTGTGACATCGATGTCAGACTTTAGTGAGGTTTGTTAATAATGGTCATTTCCGTTGGCAGAGTAGAAAATTTAACAGCATGAAGATTTCGAACGGTACAAATTGGACTACAAGGCAATAACATAGATCCGAAATCCCTTCGATGCTACATATCGTAACTGATATTATTGCTAAACCACCATTCAAAATTTTAACATACCTAAACTCTACTCCACAACTAAAGGTCACACAATAACTATGAAAACAAAAGTTCATTATCAAAGTGTATTTTTTACTTATTAATAGGTTCTTCCTGGAAAACCAATTACTTTCGCTTTTACACTCTTTTGCAGAAATTGCAGAGAAACTTTTGTTTTGTTTTCTGACATATTCTATATATTTTTCTATTTCTTGATGCTCATATACTTCAGATTGGTACATTTATTTTCCCATCTATTTCTAGAAAGAAGTATGATGTTTTTTGAGTTTTAGATGTGAAGATACCCGCAATAACTTTATATATCAACTATTAACCCAAATAAAACAGAGAAAGAGATGAAAACATACCTGTAAAACTTCAGATTGCACTATAATATATCTTGTTTTGAAGCTTTCAGCGATCGTTTCCACTATCTAGTGAACACTAGGGTTTAGAAAAAAAAAGGGAAAATGAATATAGGTGTGAGGTGCATCATGGGTTAACATATTGAATTTAATCTCCAAATAAAATTGAGTTAATTATGGAATTGGTTATCAGAATATCAGATTAATTAATATTTTTAAGATACTTACAAATTGGTCACCAAAATTGATTTAAGAATATTATGTTAAACATAAATGAATGAACATAAACGAACAGAACCGAACGAACATAATCGAACGTTCACGAACGTAAATGAACGAACGAGACCTATGTTCATGTTCGTTCATTTAATTAAACGAACAAAAAATCTTGTTCATGTTCGTTCATTTAATAAATAAACGAATTTCCCGCCGCACGGTTCATGAACGGTTCGCTGAACATTCAGTTCATTTACAGGCCTAGTTCAAAGACACGTTTGCATTTAAAGGGACTTTGGGACATGGCACATTAAAATATTGGACCTAAACTTGTATAATTTTGCAAAATTTTGAATTAGTGTATCTTCTAGGGTAAAAGCTAACGCCCATTTATTTTCTAGGTAAATATATTTGGTGAAGGTAAATGTAGAATATTTGGTTGGGGGCAGACCATGCCTAACCTATATACCAATCATCAAGCGGTACAGCTTATTAGGTTCAGGTATGATGTTGTCTACAAAAACAGACCAAGAAAAGGTGGTATGAATTTAAGATGATATATTAAAATTTTAAATAAAGTAAATTTATAAAATTTTATTGAATGTAAAATTAAATAATTA